TCAAAACTCGTTTACTTTTTCTTCTAGTTTTTTCCAAATCGACTAAGCTACAGGTTAAAGAAATTTTTCTCAAGGGTACATTTGTTTTCATCTTGATGATACGAAGCGAATGGTACCGGTCTGAGCTTCCAATTTTATCGTTTGTAAAAACTGCAACTCGAGCTGGCTGGAGGTTGAAGATGACCAGTGTGTCATCTCTCAACCAATGACATGTTGCCACACATTTTTTCAAATCTATTTTTAAATTAATGATCCATTGTTTTATTCACTAAGGTCCATATCATACACAGTATTCCAGGTCCCTTGGATATGTTTACTAATGCGTTTTGATATTGATCTAATGGTCCATATTTTTTTGGTTTTATTTAATATTTTCTGATTTTATTTTTAGATTCAGTGTGTTATTTAAAAGAGTTCATGACACACATAGCGCGCCAGATCCCTTGGATCTGATTACTAATGTGTTTTGACACTGATCTAATGGTCCACATTTTTTATGGTTTATTATTTTATTTCATAATTTTCATTTTAATTGTTTTAAACTTCAAAAAATCATAAAATTTTTATTTCAAGTTCAAAAAATATGAAAAAATTACTAAATATATTTTTGAATATTATCTTTCTGATTCTTATTTTTTTCATAATTATATTTCATGATTTGATATTTTTTATAATTTTTATCTTTATTTTATTTGTTTTAATTGTTTAAAAATATTTTTAGACCTTTTAAAATTCTGAGAAACTTATGGAAGGATCCAATGACTTTCTTTTAAATATTGGTAACCTCATTTGTTATTTATTTCTGATTTTACTATTTTTTGTGATTTTTGGTTTATTTTGATTAAGTTTTGTATTTTAAAAAATATTTTCTGACTTTTAAAAATCCTAAAAAATTTGTCAACACTTGTTTACCTTTATTTGACTATTGGTAATTCTCTTGGATTTTTATTCGGTGTTTTTGATACCTTTTATGTATCTATCAATAAATTTCAATTAAATAACCATTTTAGTCATTTTTATATATTTTATTTTAATGAATTTTTATTTTTTTGTGATTGGTTCTGATTTGGAGACACTTGAGTGTTACTTTGGGATAAGTTCCTCAACCTCATTGGATCATGGATGTTGATAGGTTGAAAAATCAAATCCATCAAAATTGATGAATGATGTTGGTGATATTTGAAACCGTAATTTCAATTCATCTGAGACATTGGTTACACTGTGATTTCCCTTTTTCCCCTTCATCTCACCCCCTTTCTTCTTTCCTATTGATTGATTCTTAGTGGCCTAAACTTGATGTTTGCAAGCCCAGGTATGGTTAAGTGTTGAGCTATGGACAATAACCTTGATGGCTCATTGTTAGAAGGCTTTGATTATGTTATATTCCCGGGAGCTTCAATTGGTAGCCGAGACCTCAAGCCAGAGGAAGCATAAGGAGAAAGGTACCTCAAGGACCCGGGTTCATGAAATAAGCATAGCTCTGGGTAGGGTCAATAGTTATGGCAAGGATCCTCGTCCAGGAACCACTCTCTAGGGCGTGACCTAAGCATCAGCAAAAAGGTCACATGCAGAGCCCAGGCATAACTCCCGAAATGATCTCCAGTTCATTAACATTAGCATTACAAAAGATTAATTATTCCAATCATGGTTGACGATGGATGTTGCCAAATGCACGTAACTGAGAAAAATGAAGAGTCACTTCATAAATGTAGCTCTTAAAGGAAGCCTATATAAGGGGCTCCCAACAGAGGGATAAACAAGACACTTATTCTTAAGAAAATAACCACTACAAGCGTAGCTCTCAAATCCCCAATCATACCTACAGAAATCTACCTTTGAGGCTCTACCTTTGAAGATACTTGTTTAGTATTCCTACGCAAGAACATTTGGAGCCTACCATGAGGCCTCGGTAAAACTTTCCCAGGCCACATAACAAAGAACAATCAGAAGAATGTACTCTCCAGGAAACCCTCCAGACATGGCCTAGCTATTAGCCATGGTGAATGCTCTGAGACAACATAACAACACCTTACAGAATAGTGTCGCTGACCTACAAAAAAGGAGCCAGACAGAGGATCATCCAGAGGAGGATCCTTTAGAACCTCAGCCGCTCTCTCAAGCAATTTGGGATGACCAAGTCCCAGATAACTTTAAGGCACCATCGCTCGCAACTTATGATGGTAAATTCGATCCCTAGGAGCATGTTATTGCTAATAACTATCAGATGGCAATAATCGGCCCCACTGATTCACTCAAGTGTAAGCTCATGGTGGGAACGTTCAAAGACGTCGCCTTAAGATGGAACATGAGTCTACCCCAATTGTCTGTGGAAAGTTACACAGATTTAACCAAGAAAATTATATAACACTTTTCAGCCAATAAACACCGTAAGGTGTCAACCACCACCTTGTTTAACGTTAGACAAGGGAAATCAGAATCCCTGTTTGAATACTTGGCTAGGTTAAATGAAGAGACCATCAAAGTCTCATACCCTAACCAATAATTGTTCGTCAGAGCGTTTCAGCTTGGGCTACAAGTCGGGCAATTCAATGAATCCCTGGCTTAGAAGCCGCCTTCTAATATGGAAGAAATCATCAATAGAGCAGAATTCTATATAAAAGGAGAAGAGAGAAGCAGGGAGAAACACTCAAGAGATACTATCGAAAAGGCCAAAAGCAAGGAAGAAGGTACTGGGAGGAGACAAGAACGTTCCGAGTACGCTGTTCGAGAGCGTCCCCGAGAACTCCCTGAGGGAAACACTGGTCGGAGACCAAATCGTAAACCTTTGGTTTTGGAGGAGGATTTGACTTTGTTGAACACTCGGAGGAGCTAAATATTATAGAAAGTTAGCCACTTAAATCTGATCCCAGTAGCACCAGCCCATCCTAAAGGGGTTTATGCTGGGATGGGGAGGGAAACCAATGCTTGTGAAACAACCAGCTGAATAATCAACTGATAAAATATCAATGAAGTCTCCATCGAATGTTTTTTATCCCACAAGAAGGGAAATTTAAACATAGAGTAAACCTGAGAAGGGTGAAATCATGATCGAACAACCGAGAGATCGGGTAAGGGAGTCTGTTATGTGAGGGGGAGGTATTAGCACCCCACACGCCTGTAGTACTCTATGGTATCCACTCTTGTTGTCTATCTTATGGGTGTGTTAGGATCTATATCTAGGCTTAAGGGCTAAAAGAAAACGAAAAGAGGGAATGCATACAAAAGAAAAGAGAAAATAATGTAGGGAAAAATAAAGTTATGCTCGCTCGGGCCCTACCCCAATGCCTACATATCCCTTTTAAGGAATCAGAGCAGTCGTAGTTCGGCTCAAAAGTTTTTGTTGGTTTGTATTTTTTAATGAACAATATTAATTTCGCCTTCTGCCGCAACTCGACCTCTAGAGATTTACGTGTTAGCACAGAAGTGAATTAACATGTTCTTTTTGAAAATTTTGAAAGAAAAACCTGAAGGCGCAAAAGAGTTTGCATTGGTTGATAGCTTTTACCTTAAAGAAGGATTTGGAAATTGTTAGATGTTTTATGATTTTCAAAGAAAAGGAGAAAAAATGTGTTTTAAATGTAAGGATGCAAAAGAAAAGAAAACATCTAAGGGAGACTAACCTAAATCTATCCCTAATATTATCATACAATTATTGATCCTATAGTTGAGTTTTGAAGGGAAATCTCTACCCTATGTTGACATGGTTGGATAAAAATCCTAATGTCTATCTCAATTCATCATCTATAGATGAACCAAGAAGTCCTAAAGGAGCATAGCAAGGGTCTATCACCTAAAACTATGTCTATCTCGAATCATCATCTATAGTTAAATCGAGAGCTCATAAGGGAACATGTCGAGGGTATATCATCTCAAAACATGCACACAAAGATGAAATCAAACAAACAAGCCAATAAGCTCAATAAAGCACACCTAGAGAGATATTATCTAGGCTATCATGCCAAATAAAGTCTAACAAAACTATCCTATGGGGAACATGCAATGAGAGTGAAGTCGTGATCTCAATTTCTAAATTGAGTGACTCATCGATCAACAGGAAATAAAGGAAAGAGATAAAATCCTAGAGGGAGCATGCACTGAGAGCAAAGTCATGATCTCAATTTCTAAATTGAGTGACTCATCGATCAACAACCAAGGAAACAAACACAAGCACAACATATATAGCAAATGAAGTGTGGAATGCATGCTACAAGTCTTTAAAAAATGACTTTGAGTGCACGCTCTTTATTTCCTACTTCTCATGATATATAGAAAGTAGTAAAGTACTGAAATGAGATAATCAAGGGAAAATACCAAATGGATATCAATCCGTAGCAAAGCCTATCAAAACAAAGAAACCCGACGATCTTCGCGAAAGCTTCACCAAACCCAGAAAAGAGTCAGAAATCAAATGCTCGAGATAAGTGTCGAAGCATCATCGATGTGAAAATAAATCATAATCAGAATCTCAGGCATATCCGAATATCGCATAATAAACCTGCATAAGACTCGAATCTCAACTGGCAAAAGTGAAGCATGAAGTCTCGGAAACAAAATTATTATTTAAACATAAACCTTAATAGAAAATTCTAACAAAATTCTAAAAGAAGAAAAATTTAGGGAAATTATATTATATTCCTAAAAAAACAATTAACAATTTTTATTATTTTTATTGTTAATTTTGATTATAAAAAATTATAGGAAGGAAACTAAAGAGAGGAAGAAATTAGCATTCTAGTCAGAAGGGGGTGCAGGCTGAGATCCAGGGGTTTACTGAAGAAGGGAGTTAGGCCCAACCCAACCTGTAAAAAGACTTTCAACTCAACTTGTCCAAAAAGAAATGTCATTGGGCCTGGGGGAGGTCTATCTAGCGGGAAAAAAACCCAATGGAAAATTCAATCCATGGAATCATTCAACAAGGAAAAATAAACCACTTTGCAGCGTCCTTATCCAATTACCAAAACAAAATTAATTTGGGAAAAAAATTTGCATTTGAGAGAAAGATGGGGGTCAGAGTTTTCCGTTTCAACTTCAACGAACAACCTAAATCTCTCTTCTCCTTCTCAATCCCTCTGCCGTTTCAACTCTCAATTCAACCTCCGATGAATTTACCTCCGGACTCTTCCTCGCTCGCGATTTGTTTCGCCTCTGATTCTCCTCCAGTTCGTCGCGATCGTCTCATTCTGACTTTGCTCGATCCTCTGATTTCGTGCCTTCATCAACTTTAGTTCATGTTTTCGTCTCAAATTAATTTGTTGTGGCTTGCCTCCGCCATGAATTCATCATCTTCAATGCCGTGCTTCAATAAATCCGCAACCTCACCTTCGTCATCATCGCTCTCGCCAACGATTTGGTATCGATTTTGTTATCATCGTCCCACTTTGTCTTTAATCCTTCTGTTAACCTCCATATTCATCATGTTCGATCTCCACAAAGCAAGATTCAAAGTGTGAAAACGAATTAGAAGGAGAAAGAACGCTTACCGACTAGAGCCGTCTGGTGCTTCTTCACTCTCGAAGAATCTAAAGAGAACCAACCATTTCAAGTATGCACTACTTTGAAGTCTGTTACTCATTCCCTTCTAATTTTCTTGCGAGTTGCGATGTGTTTGAGGAATGTGAGACTCCGCTATGATATCGTTGCCATCTTGTTGTAGATTCACGGTGATGGTGATGGTGACGTGAAGATGATGAAGGAGTTATTGAAGTAGTGGATGAATATAGGTTGATGAAGATGGAAGAAGTTATTTTTTCTGATTACCGACAAGAGAGAATCCAGAGGAATCATGAGAAATTTGCAGAGAGAATCAAAATGGAGCTTGTGCAGAGGGAGAATTTTTGTGGAGCTTTCTTTTCTGTAGAACTGAAGAATGAAGATGAAGGTGAGAAAAATGGGAAGAATGTTTATGTGATAGAGATTCTTCTGCAGAAGTCAAGGATTATGGTTGAAGAACAAAGTAGAGGGAAAAGAGATTCTGCTAATTTTTTTGGTGGATTCTCCAAGATTGAAGAATGAAGATGAAGATGAGAGGAGAAGAAAGAGTCTGTGATGGTGATTCTTCTGCAGAATGAAGAATGAATTTAACCTGCTTCCATGTTTTTCTTTTCTGCTTCCACGTTTTTCTTCTATTTTGATCTTCCACTTTTTTCTTTTCTGCTTCCCTGACTTTTTGATTTTTTTCTGCTGTAGTCTTTTTCTAATTTAAATATGCTGAGTTGGACATTGATGCAAGGCCATTGTTTACTGTTTTTCTGATATTTCTGAGCTTTTCCATTTATTTTTTATTTAATTTTCCCCCTCTTCTCGTACAAGTTATTTGGATTTCTGCAGGATGGCTTTGGTTTCGGATTTTAAAGCGGATATTTTCTCCTTCTATGAATAGGCATTAGTTAGTGGTGATTACAGTTAGTGGTTATGCTGCCAAAGTTGATGTAATTGATCTGGGCAATAACCCTTGAAAATTTCCTGACCGTTTATGTTTTTCGAAGTTTGGCTCCAAGAAGGATAGAAATCAGACTGTTCATGACTTGCTTACTGCAGTAGAGAAGCATGACTCAGTTGGACCAGGAATGTATATTGAGTTATGATTCATACTAAAACTATGACTTTTTTTGAACTGAGATGCAGATACAGGGCTGCCATGGATTGTGAATTTTCTGATGATGAGGGGGATATGACTGTAAGAGAAGTAACAAGGTCGTGGATTTCGATAGGATATCAAAAGTGGAGGCTCTTCTCGGTAATATCTTTCTGATTCTGACTTTTTCGAAAGCCTCTTTTCCTCTTCTCTTTCTCTATATTCTGAAGGGACTTTGAGTAGGAAGACAATGATGACATGTTAGGATTTCATATGCTTGATAGCCCCTTTTCTGTGATATTTTGTGATTTGGCTACAATTCTGTTTATTGAGCTTGAATTCCTGATTTTGTTCTATTAGCATAAGCATATAGAGTAAACACTTTGTTATGAATCTGAGTTTTGATTTCAGTTTGCAGTTTGTTTTTTTTAGAAAACTTGTACTCCCTTTTCACTTATCTTCTAATCTATGTTTTGGTCAAACCACACACTACTTTAAAATTGTAAGCAGATCATCCACTGAAAAATAATGCAGAGCAATTTACAGTGTAGTTTTTACTCTGAATTTCTGATGAACTCTTGGTTTTTTGGATAACATGCAGGAAATTATATGAAGAATGCAACAGGTTGGTTCCTTACCACAGTACAAAACTGCTATGGAATAACCACAGGTTGAAACTATAATATGGGATGAACAAACAGTAGCTACAACATCAGTGGAACCAACAGTTCCTGGTGCAACAGGTTCACCGCCAACTTTCTCCCCCACTTCATTATCAACCTTCAAAAATACAATTAGTGAAAAACTTTTCATAAATCTTGATAATTATCCTTTGTACTTCCAATTATTAGACCTTTTTTGAACAATTCTACTTCCTCAGGTAAAGTCAAATGCACACAATCATAACAACAATTTATCTCTTGAGATCATTATGGCCATCATATATTCTAAAGAAATGGACGGTCTGCTAATTAACATCCTTGTTGTTAATTCTCTCATATTTTTGTGTAGGTTGCAGAATGACTTATGGGCGGGACCATGGAGGATAAGGCTTGAAGAAAGGACGTGCAAGATGGAGTCAAAAGAGACTTGGTAAAGAAAATGAAGGATGAAGATTAGATTGTAGGCTTAATGTGAACTTTGCAGAATTGGTCAAAAGTGTAATCTCTTTCTATTTTTCAGTATTGTAATGACAATTGAAATTGGATTTGAAGTATAACTTTGATTCATATAGGGGAATATAAATTCTTTTAGAAAATTATAAAGTTTGAATTTCCCTCCACTATGCTTCAATTTGAATGAATCTTCAAGCATATAATATTTTCTCCAATTTGTACTCTTGAACCTTGATTTCATAACATTGTATTTCATTTGGATTCTTCAATATTTCTCGAATGAGTTTTGTGATGCTTGGTATCTTGGAGATGAAATAGGACTTGAATCGTTCTTTCCCTCCAAAAGCTTCTTTCAACATTTCAAATTTTGCTTCAACTTGCATCCTTTAATATAACACACCATGAGATAAGATACTCTTAGTCAATCAAGGGAATTAAGTAAGATGTTGTCAAAACCTTGGATGCAACTATGACCCAATACACCACGTTCACCTCAAATCCTTGTGTGAGAACCAAAGAGATAACTTGTATGGCCTAAGCAATGTAACATATTGATCCTCAAGCATGATAGCTAATTAGAAGAATTTATTTGAATCAATGATATACAAAGCTCAAATGGTAAAGTGGGCACCGGTATATCCATGTTTGTCTTCTGCATGAAGTTTCTGATCACATAGCTTGTGACTTATGTAATAAGTGCCCCCTTTTCATTTACAATGAAAGGTCGAATGAAAATCCTAGCTCGTCATTGATGAAGAACATTTGACTATTAGCCTTTCCAAATTCATCTGATAAACCCAAGCATAGGGAAATAAACCCTACTCCATGACCAAGGAGGCCTTGGTGAAGATAACTCTTGTACCCCAAAATTTACCCTCTTTTCATACACGCATATTATTGGTTTTATGGTTATGGAATAAAGGTATATTTATCAAGCTTCGCCAGGTTACAAGTGACGTTTATTTCACCAATGCATGTTCTCAGAGTATTTTCCGTGCTGAAGATCGGTTCGCCATTTTGCAACGATTCGGGGTTCAAAGATTCACAAGTCCAACCCGGGCGTCATATTCAGGTGTTCTTTCACCAAGATATCTCTGATAACGTATTCTCAAATTCAGGTTCGGCTCAAGAGTCAATTCTTTAAAGAAGGTCTCCGAATGTGTGAGTTTTCTCGAAGAAATATGGTGAAAAAGTGTGCTGAAAGTGCAGTTTTTACGCACACAAAAATTCATAACTTGAAGACCGTGGCTTGTTTTGAACCCGTTCAGGTGGCCAAAATTCCGTCTTGATATCATCTACGTATTCATCTCTCACGGCTGGAAGCCAATTTCAATCAGAAGGTCTTCAAAAATGCAGATTTATCAAGTATTTTCGTACATAAAATTTGTGACAGAAGTTTATTTGCGTCATGTTCAGAAAATCATAACTTGGTCGATTTTCATTGTATCAAGCTGGTTCCGGCGCCAAAATTTCACAAATTGAGTTGGCTAAGTTTTCCCAGGAGGTATTGAGTTTGAACAGTATACAAAAGACCTTCTTTTTTTTTCTCAGAGTGCGTGTGACACGCCGAAAATCCGGAATGTTGAATATTATTTCATCTGGGCCGAAACTTCGAAAATTCATAACTCGGTAAATTTTTATCAGATCGGGCCCATCTTTTTACACAAGGTCACTGACTCAGAGATATACAACTTTTCTTCCAAAGTCGAGACCGGGTTATACTCCAATCAATACCAGTTTTTTATTGAAGAACGTGTCAGAGTTGACACTGGAGCTCAAAATAAGTTTATTTGAGCCAAAACTTCAAAAATTCATAACTAATTCACCGTTTATCCGATTGAGCCCATTTTCAGACAGGAGTTATTTCTCAATGTCGGCTATATTTTGTTTTCACATTTCAACTTCAAAAATTGCACTTAAGCCCCTGATATTTAGCCTGGAACATGACGAACTCAAGTGAACATTGGAGGCCCAATTGCACATTCAAATCCCATATCTTTGCTCTAATTTCCATTATATAATCTGATTCTTTTCACACAAAGAGGACGAAAAAAACCTTTGCCACAACCCTTTCAGAATACCAAATTATTTCAAGAACCCTAAAATCTTTAAATCCTTATTACAAATCTCCATCTCACTACAAAAAAGCCATCCTTGTTACAAATCCTCATCTCACTACAAACAAGCCATCCTTGTTACAAATCCACATCTCACTACTTCTCCAGTAAGGGCAAGGCTAGTTTGATCTCCATGATCAAAAGGGTATAATCATTCATACATGCCATATCGGTTTTAACATTAAATTTTTTTCATATATTTGCTTTATTTTTATTTCATGATATATAGTAATTTATTTAATGTGTTCATGAGATTCAACACTGCAGATTTAGACAGGGTCCCATGCAAGTTCATTACAGAATGCTGAGGCCAAAACACAAAAATAGAACAACCACCAATGCATAATAAGGCAGACATCCTAAGAAGGTTAAGGGCATGTGTTCAACACTCACCCCTATTGGTTTTGGTTTTCTTCCTT